GTCTATTTATATACATTTTTACAAGCATACTACTATTACCTAAATTCATGGCTTAATTTTTAATCCGTTAACCTGCTTTTCCGCTAATCGTTTTCGTCGGCCGGCAGCTGCATGACGCACCGCGATTGTGAACTTGGGTTTTCCCTCTCTAGGGAATTTATTATTTCGGAAAATCAATTAATTGGAATGAACTGGATTTGGAATTACCGTAACAATATTAATGTGTAATAATTTAAATTTTTATTCCTACTCCATAATGTATTACCTTAGTTATCTAAACATTATTCAATACATTATGTTAAAACTAGAAGTTTAAAAAAGCCTGTTTATTCCTCTATACTTTTTTTTTAAATCTGTCGGAAACGATTCCTTTATTTCGTAATACGAATGCACACATACGTTTACTATCACATGGAGTTGCAACTAAAATGACCATTGCACTGTATATTAGAAGTTGTATTGGATGAAATGCCAATATTTCAATTCGGCTCATTTATTTATTTATGTATTTTTATATACAGAATTCAGCTGCAGTACAACTTCAGTTGAATCACACAATTATTAAAGTTATAGGCTTAATTTAATTAAGTAGAAGAAATTTTAAAACTACGAAATTAATACGTATAATAAAAATAAACTAAAAAAAAGGCCTACATCAACCTATTCGTTGATAGGCACCAATTAAACAATTAAATGGTGATAACATAAAGCTTAGCAGAAATCTAGCAACATTGCCTAGTATGTTGGCGGACAGTAGCTCGATTATAACAATTTAAAATTAGCTTAAAGACGACGTCGGCAATACACAGGTATTAAATAAAGTAGTTTCAATGGAAACTACGGAATCCAACATAGTTGAAAAGAGATAAACCTTATTTAAATTTTCACACAGTACTCTAAATGGGTTGAAAAGTGTATAGTGTAACTTTTAATGGCTAAATTTTATGAAAAGAAAATTTCTTGACATGCAGATAGAAATATTAAAATTGATCCCATTTAACAAAACAAGCAAATCAACGACACTATTTATCAACTTTATCAAGAAGGTAGTGCACAAAACCATTCTACATTTTTTGCTTGACAGCATAGATACTTATTGTCATACGGTGGTCGGGGGAGTCGTGTATCACAAACTATGTTTCTTAGCGCAAAGAGCAGAAACTGCTCTTGCAAAAATTCAAACAGAAAAGATTCTATTAACTTGGCCACGATATGAAGATGACCATGCAGTTGAGGTAATACAGATAGTAATAACCCTTTTCGTTACATACGAGTCATCAAAGTCACTCCACTAGCGTCCAATAAAGAATAACATCAATCTAGGTTTATTCAAAGATTGTGCCACAAGTAAAAGAGTCCACATCCTCCAAACGGTGTGAATCAAGAAATTATTCCGTTAAGAAGTAGTTTCGTCCTAAAAATGTCAGCTTTTTACATTTATTTTGTGTTATTATCAAAGAATTAAATGAGCACTAATACACTAAACTATGTAAATCAGCTTGAAGGAGACATTACTAAAGGGCGAAAATAGTTCGACGGCAGCTGTGTACATAAGAATAGGAGAAAATTTATTTGGTGATGAAAGATCATTAACATATGGCATAAATAAATTAGTGCCAAATCGACTAGCTTGAATAACCTTTGAGGTGACGGACATCTTGTCGCACCGAAATGATTTCAAAGGCACCTTCAGGAATATGCCATCGACGTAGGGAGGTGACCAATTAACTAAATTAGAGTGTGAAGTTATATTTAAATATAACGACCAAAGGCACAAAGCAAGCACTTTTACAAAGCTTTGTTTAGCCGTTAATAGAATTCTGCTACGCGAAGTCTCGGAGGGATTTAAGTCAAAATATAGTTAAAATAGAACTTTTCGAGAAGGTGTTCACAAAATGTTTCAGAGGAAATATTTCTTTATTTAAATTAAATGATATTTGAAAAAAAAAAAAAATTTGTACACACTGTGAAAAAATGAAAGTAGCATAGCCTGAATCGTCTATTAAAAAGCTTTCCAACGATGTGCATATAATATATTAAGTTTTGTTCCAAGAATTTTTTTCTGAGACTTGGAAAATTGCCTTACTTAATATAGGCAAATCTTAACTAATTAACGTAACGAGGTGGTTTGTTCGTAATATTTTATTAAAATATTCTGGAAACGTTCTATTTTTACTATATTTTGTCTTAATTCTCATAACACACTCCAACACAAACATAAATATGAATTTAACGAGCAAACTCAACTACCCTTTCGCTTAAGATGTGTTTAAAGAGCTCTGTTAAGAATGAAAACATGGTTGGACGTGGAAACCTTCTTCAAGAAATTTGGGAAACTCAAAATATTATAAATTAATGAATCTATATGGAAATATCTTTTACCCAAGCTACACAAATTCAAATTCGTCTTACCAGAACTATTTTTACTAAATTTTTAATATTTTGTAGTTTAGCATATACCGACTATGGGAAAACGGTTGAATTCGAGACTCCAACTTGTGTGAATCAATGAAAATCTCCTTATTTTCTTTCGAAAAAAATATAGAAAGTCGGATTGGAAGGACGTTTTTATGGCGCAGTGGTTTGTGATTCTTCACCTTGGGCTGCTCAGCCATATCGTGATATTGATTTCTTTATTGGTGTCTCTTAAGCTGTTGCCTCTGTCACTAACTCGTATGCCCATGATTATATAAATTCAGTTTTACTATGCACATTGTTTTGAAAGTCAGTCAGTTTTCCTTGGTTTTTAGTGTAATAAGCGTTTTTTGTCGACATGACATTTCGTTATTACAATCATTTAGCAAATGTGTCTAGTCCTTCTAATCTATTCCGTAAGCTTTGTCTATGTTTATTTCTACTAGTAAAAGTCGTTCGAAGATATAGCGTTCATAATTTGGCTCAATTCGTTTAGCTAAATCTAACCCCGCTACTAAATTAGACGGAGCAGATGAAAAAAGAATATCACACAATCACAGAAATGAACACCCGAAGTACATCCTCTCTATATTTTTCATTAATTGACGATGCTAAAACTCTAACATACGCCATTATCCTTTTATTTGTTAACAATGAAAGTTTTCTGTCAACTTCGTCCTGAGCCATAGTCACGATGATTGATGTATTACTTCTACTAGATGTCCCTAATGCAATTTTTTCTCTTAAGCTTAATTCTTGCTTTTTGCCCTTGGAAGTTTGGGCGCTGGTCGCTTTTCATCATCATGAAAATAGGTTGACTCTGTTATCCTGACCGTCACTGGAGAAACGTAGATTCATTCTTTGTGTCTCCTTCTTAATTAAGTTAATTAACGATACTATTGATTCGTGCATGTTACTTGGTGAGATAAGTTTTAATGTCTCTAACCTCTTTTCTAGGCACTTTATATTCTTTAAGCTGAGGCAGGTTCAACTGATTCAATATTGATAATGATTATGAATTGTGTGTGGCTCAAGAAACGAAAACTAGTCATTTGTGTTTAGCGTTTTAAATACGCATGGATCGTACAAAGAGTTTATCAAAAAGTTGACAACGCTTCTGGATTATTGACAGCGACATACCCTTCTACAGAGTGAATGTAAAATAGGATTTTTAAAATTGACAAAAAAGAATTGGAAGTTCTTGCAAGAAGGTTGCCATTGCAAACTGACTAAATCGGCCAAATTCTCATTCAAGGTAAAATCCCAGTTGCACGTTCTACAAAATGGAAAATAAAGTATTAATCCTGACTGTCTGTTGGTAAAACTTGGCATAGTCGACTTCTCGTCTAGAAGGACAATTATATTAAAGCATCTTATTTATCTCTAAACTGCATTCAATAGAAGTTTATGGAGAGCATTATTACTTGAGAACTTTATAAAAAACACCCCAATTCAGCAATGTATTGTAAAATTTGTGTTGCCTTGTTTACTTAGGCAAAGACAACGTATACAAGACATAATGACGACGGTAGACGACGGTAATAAAAACTAGTCCCGAAGGTTGAAAGGCTTTTTATTTGCTTCTGAGTACTTCCAATTTTCCTCTTTAGCATTTCTTTAAATTCAAACTGAAATCAATAGATGCTTTCGCATTTTTCCTTGATCCTCATACAACATACGTAAACATGTGAAACGTGATTTACTTTCTGTTATGTTGTTTGATCGTACCGTTGGTGTCAATTCCAAATTTAATGAATATTCGTGTTTTTCAATTAAGAAAATTGGATTAATTACTCACGATTTAAAAAAAAAAACAAATACATATATCCCTTAGATGTACGTGCTGTGGTATGAAATTTAAGTAACTTTTCAAAATCAAAAAAAAAAAAAAATCCTCTGACTAAAATTGCAATAAACACATCTAAATGTATGAAAATTTTTTTGAAGAAAAGCGGCGCCTAATTATATTAAACCACTTTTTATAATTTATTAATTCATTTAATTAGTTTTATACTAAACTTCAAATAAGTGTAATGGACCTTTAAAAAAAACATATCGTGCACCTTGAGGATACTCTTCGAGTAACGGTTTTGCTTTTTCGCACATTTGAGTTTTAAGCTCTTTGCTTAAATTATCGTGTAATTTTGTCCATTTCGTCATTTCTTAATGAACATTAGCTACAATTAAAACAGATACCAACGGAGTATTGTTGTGCATATGACGTTTACTATTAAAAAAACCACACCATTGGTTTCCAATAAGTTTGCACATATACAAATGTTTCAGTCTTTAGGTGTGTTATTTATTCATTTTAATTTAAATCGTCAAACCTCAAAAATGTTCCTTTAGCAGGAGCTGGTTTTCGTGTTAAATAATTTAATATACATATGTATATTTACACATACGGATTTTCAACTAATAAAAACACAAAGCTGTAATTAATCATTTTTCTATTCCAAAATTTTACAAAAATTTTCTGAACAAACAAATTTTTTAAAACCATAATTTCTTTTCCTTAAAATAAATTCAATATTTTCTCTAGTTTCTCCTCTTCAATTTTTTCCCATCTCAAAAGTGCAACTTACACGTTGTTATGGTATGGTGTATATGATTTGCATAAATCGCTCACATTATTTTATTTATATCAACTATTAATTTTTTGTATTATCGTTCTTTTGCTTATAGATTTTAATATATTCCCATTTTTATTTATATATTGAAAGTAAAAAGCTTTTCTTTAACATAAATACACATCTATTTACATATTTTTTTTATTTACATGCAGATTTATCACAACATAGAGATACCTTGATATTAAAATTTCACATAGCCTTTATAAGAAATTATTAATGGTATGGTAATAGTTTTCTTCTTAATATTATAAATATTTACGTATAAATTATTTCGCGCAAACTCTCGCGGCAAGAAATTTACAAACTGTCGCGTTCAAAATTCTAAATAGCTCATTTGAAGAGAAAAAGGTGACTGAAAAAATCTTAAGAACGTTTAGATTTATATTCACGTAAGCAATTGTTAAAAATAACAAGTAAGAAAATGATATTCGGTTACGACCGAATCTTCTATACCCCTCACCATTGGACACAAAATTGAAAGAAGAGAAAAAGATAAATTTGCATATTCCACAATATTGGCTGGCCTGACTGATTTTTGATATTCTTGTAGAATAATTTTCTGAAAATTCACAGCGTGTTTCTGTAAGCAAACAAGCTGAAAAGCAAAGCTACACTTTGTTTTGGTTATATAGATTTGTGGGCATTGTAGGCGTGTTTTTTTACCCGATTGGGCCATTTTCAAATTTGTACGAATTGTCTTCTTTTTTGTGAACGTGGGAAGATAGATACTATAAAGTTGGACAGATGGGCTGCTTCCGTGATTTCCCAAATTGAAACTGGCCAAGAATTTATATAATGTCAATTTTTTCCATTTTTATACATGCTATAGTTTATGAGTAATAAGCAAACAACTAACCTTTTACTCCTTTTAAAAAACAGAGGCGGTCTCAGTTTCTTTGATATAATAGGCGTGTCCTTCGACCGATTTGGCCCATTGTCAATACCAACCTGGATGGAGGAACTTCCAAACTATCCAGTTTTGAGTCGATAGCTTTGCTTTTACGTCCAAAATTTGGTGCTGATCAAAAATATGTACACTTTGTGGGGTTTTTGAAGCTTTTTTCTAGGCATTGCAAACGTTTAACAAAGTGGATATACCCGTCATCCTTTGGTGATGCGTATAAGTAGAATAGTTTATAATGAAGGAAATCGCCTCTCAGAGAATGCAAAACATAAATATAAATAACCGTGCCAGACAAACGATAGCAACGAAAGAGTATTTGAATTAATCTCTGAGAGTAAAACCAAATTTTACAATAGCAGTGTCAGCAATAACTGAATAAATAATACCAAGTAAAGAAATTCCTCTCGGCAAATTCAGAAAATTTGGCCATGATAGAAAATCAGAGACAACGAGATACGTAGATAGGCCAACATTTTGTTCAAAGTTGAAAATAGGAGATTATTAGGGACTTTTTGTGTATCTTATTTAGCAACCAATTGTATTCTTGCACTGTCATTATATGCGTGGGCGAAGAGTCGCCTAATGGTTTCTTGGTAAGACTTCGTTCGCATTCGCATGTAAATGCGTATGTACGAAAAACGACCAAAGATGTTCGTAGTAACCATAATATTTATCTTTATCTAATTCACTTATTTTATCTATATATTTATTAATTTTATATGCTTACACATCTATTCTTGGCATATTTTATCCAATTTTCTATATTGCGCATGAGTTACGGAATCAATATATGTTATATCATTGACCGCCTGAGTGGCAGAAAGCCAAGAATCTCGACTGGCAACTCACTCATCCTGCCGAATCCTGTTCGGTGTAATGTCTGTTGTAAATATTCTCTTTGCCGCAAAAATAAAGCTATCGACTTCAAATTGGCAGAAGCATTGGAAATTCTTGCACGCAAGTTGGTAATGAAAATCGGCCAAATAGCTGTAAAGACTCGCCCGCAACACCACGTAAACTAAGAACACTTTTGCTTTTTAAATGAAGTAAAAAATTTGACTTTTTGCACATTACTCATAAACTACTACTTTGATCGCGTATCCTATGGGCGATGTTGTAGCATTTGTGCACAAGAATGAAAAAAAACTGACCAGGCATATCCAAAATTATTGTGCATCAAAAATTTAAATGTTTTTTTAATAACTTTATAACGCGTAGAAACAAGCTTCATAAAATCCATAAAGTATGCAAATTTTTGGCCAGTCCCGAGCAAATTTAATTTTCCTACTTGTTAATAATAAAAAAATGCCTTAATGCCTTAAAGCATTTGGCAAGCATAAAATTTATAAATCATAAATTCTTTAAAATAAACGATGAAACGAAAGCAAATTATGTCTGCTGCGCACTTATTTTGATACAATAGTCCATATTCACTTAAAACCACAGCATTGTACGTTTTCTTGCTTTGCAAACGTCTCAAAGAATATGACATCATATGAAGAAACTATTAACAGAGTCTTTGCCCAAACAAATTTTGAGAATTAAAGAGCAAGGATACAAACGAATGCTAATTTACAAATTAAATTCTTTTAATGGGTCTGACTCCTCGGATGATCTTGAAATCTCAAATCTGTTCGCTGAGTACTTCCGTCGAAACTTTTCGACTGCTAATTCCGATTTATCCGCAAACTACCCACACCCTATAACTAAGTTGTTTTCAATTCCTAATTGCTGAAGATGATGTTTTTAAAGGCTTGAGCTCTCTAAAATATAGTTGTGCGCCAGGACCTGATGGAATTCCATCATGTGTATTTAAATCTTGCGCTGTGGAGTTATATGGTGTTATCTCTAAGATTTTTAATCGGTCTTTGAATTTAGGTGTTTTCCCTTGGTTTCCTTATTCTCATTCACAAAAGTGGAAGTAGACAACTTGTTGAGAAATACAGAGACATAGCCATGTTGAGTGTCTTGCCTAAGCTGTTTGAACGAATTGTGACTCAGCATTTGGTATTTACCATTAATTCGTATATTTCTTCACACTAGCATGGCTTTCGGAAAGAAAGATCTACGGTCATCAACTTGTTAGAGTTTACCTGTCATGTTTTCAAGGCTTTTTCTAGTGGCTCTCGCACAGATGTTATTTACACTGATTTAAGCAAAGAGTTTGATTTGGTTAACCCTAACTTACTTATCTTTAAATTCCCGTTCTATTTAGTGAAATGGACAAGCTCTTATCTGGACAATAGGTCCTTCAGGGTTCTGTTTAACTTTATCACCTCGGATGAATTCCCCGTGACGTCTGGCGTACCTCAAGGCAGCCACTTAGGTCCCATTTTATTTAGTCCCTACATTAATGATCTCTCATCTGTGATTAATTCTAGTGAGATCTTAATGTACGCTGATGATGTGAAACTGTGTTCTTCCTGCTCTTTAGATTCGCAATCATATCACCTTCAAACTGACTTGAATAATTTGGTTGCATGGTGCTCTTTGAATCTTCTGAAACTAAATCTAAATAAATGTAAGAAGAAGAAAGTCATTCATTACTCAGTAACTCATTGATTCGCATAAGTTGGAGGGCGTCGATACGTTCTTAGATTTAGGCGTTCTATTTGACCATAGATTTACCGTTTTAATTTGCATATCGAGCTCTCGTTAAGCAAAGCTAGGTCTGCGCTTGGTTTTATAAAGAGGTGGTTCAAAGCGCTTGATGATCCTTACATTACTAAAAGGCTGTACATCTGTTTGGTTAGACCTATACTTGGGTATGCCTCTGTTGTGTGGTCTACCTCAAAAGCAATTCTTGCTGTTTGCCCTTAGGGATTTGGGTTGGGATCTGATTACCTCTCTTTCCCCCTATGAAAACAGGTTGCTTCTGTTGTCCTTACCGTCTCTTGAAAAACATTTGTTCTTGGCGTTTCCTTCGTAATCAAAGTAATAAATGGTTCTATTGACTCGCCTGCGTTGCTTGGTGAAATAAGCGTTAATGTCCCCAAGCGCTTGTCTAGGCACTTTACCTTAATTAAGCTTAGTCAAAGTAAATATAATTATGAGCGCAGAGTAGTTTGTAAGAACCTAAATGATGTCTATCGCTTATTCTCATTATCGGACTCTTTAAAGTCCATTAAAGCAAGCGCGTAATTTACCTATGTCGTACTTAAACTTGTTCTTAACTTTAAAAGGTCGTTACGATTCGAAAATGAATTGTTGTTATTTATTATCGGTTGTCAAGCTTATGCACGTTTGCGATGGTTTAGGGGTTGTGGGTGTGGCTCTATGGTAGTTGTGTACATGCTTTCTTCTTTTTTTTCCTTCTTATTTGTTTTATTGTACTTATGCGAAGTTTTAATATTAATTAATTTAAGATTTACCTTAAGAATCAATTGAACTCGACTGTCAAAATTTTTAGTTGAGTTTCTTGTATAAGTGGAATAAATAAATAAACAAATAAATAACAGCGTTATCCATATCAAAGCGTTATCTATATCAAGAGTCCCTGCCATTCTCCTAATCTCAATTTTGAATAAAATATTGGAACATCTATGTACATCGTTGTGCCTGGTATTTCGTTCTCTTTGAGTAAATGCACTCGCTTCATGCTCCAAGTTATTAATTATTTGCTTTGCGCATTCACGTTTAAACTGGTTTAAAAATATGAGTGTCTACAACTGGCCCGGAACGGAATATTTAGCGTTTGTTGATAAACACCCAATCCAGAGCAGTTGAAAAAGCTGTGGGAGGAACTGGCTGGAAATTTAAACTCGATAACAAGCCCCATCATAAATAAACAAAACTGGAAAAATGTAAGTATAAGAAACTGTACAAACAGTATAATTTCTATTGTCCTACACCAAATGTGGGATACATTTAGTTAGCGCGGACACCGAGGACTGGAGATTGACCTATCTTTCATTACCCCGATCCATTCAGAATCACTTTTTGAATCGTGTTAAACTTATCTATCCATCTGTCTGTTCGCCTGTCTGTTTAGTTTTCTTACGTTTAACTTACAGCCAGCAATTGTTGAAATGTTCTGATCTGATGAAATCTGGCACATCGGCGTGTTTCGACCCAAACAACGGCGCTATTGAAAGCGGCTCGAATCGGAACACTTTTCCAATAACTTGCCGTGTTAGACTGTCTTTAAAAGATATTGTACGAATCACTCCAGGGTGGTGTGTAGTATGTACTGGGCCATTATAATTTTTATTTGTTTTAAATAGTGTAGAGATGCCAGGCCCGCAAGGGTGAAATCTTGCCGCACTTTAAAAAATTATAATAAAATGGCAAGGTTTAATAAAGGAACTTTAGCGACATTTGGAGCAATTGCTGTTAAGGTTCCGCCAAGTGTCCCATCTATTAACGTGGAAGATCTCATAGCGGTAAAATGTTATTTGTATTTTGTTTTCATTTTTAATAAGTATTTAATTATCCTTCGTAGTGCGTCAAGGATGCTATGGAACCGATGAACAATTGGTCAAAAACTAATACCATGCAAGAACGATTGCACACCACCCTAGAAATAGATAAAATGAAACAAGAGATAAAGGATACGGCTTTAGAGTGAAATAACACATCACAGATACATCACATGCATAACATAAATAGCATCAAAAAGGAATTTGTAATTCTGTAAAAAAACTGGCAACACTTATTAAAGAAAGAAATGACCGCGAACAAAAATTTTGGGAGGAACACCTGAAAGTACAACAAGAATTGGTAGAAGCTACCTTACCAAAGTTCTAGGCAAAACAAAATGAAATATTATAAAGGAGGAGGAACAAAGGATTAAAGGAGGAAATTCTAGAGGAATATCCATGAGCCAGGTATGGAGGACTTAGAAATATTGTAAATCCAATGAAACGCTAATGCTATCTTTAATTGACTTTAGCCATATGATTTGGTAGTGGGAGTGCGCTTAAGTAATTGCATTGTCACTTTAAAGCGCTTACAAAAATGCAATTATATGCAATGCTGAAAGAACGAAGCAAAAATCGTTTAGAACACTTAACATATGCCCATATAGACATCTCATAAATATAGGCGTTTCATAAAAACCGGTCTACACTAGAGTCCAAGGAATTGTTGGAAGATAATTTAGAGCAATTGTTAAAATGTAGAGAATTAAATCGTCAACTGGCTGACGGTTGTATGCCTTCAAAAATTAAGGAACGAATTTTGGCAATAAATTCACGTACCGACCAACAATAGTTAAAAATAAAGACATTTAATTTCGATTTAATAAACAACAAGGACTACCTTGGCCCAAATATTGGATATCGATTATCTTGAGCACGTAGATGTGTTAGGTATCTGATAATATATTGAAGCAAATAATTATTTCATTTTGATGAAAATACTTGGTGAACATTAAAATCCCACTTGCACGTTCTACAAAATGGAAAATAAAGTATTAATCCTGACTGTCTGTTGGTAAAATCCATTCCACTTCTGCTCAATTAAAAGGTATTGAGAACAATATTTCCGAATTTAAATATTTTTGAAAACTTAGTACCCTTATGGGTTGGCTCATCACTATTTGCGAATATGATAGAAGAGCATGTTTGCTTACTTGAAGGATTTTAACGGACGAAGAAGAGACAAGGAAAAGGGCAAACTCAGAATCTGGACTAAATAGTTGGAGGAGTTGTCTTGGCATATTTTACGATTTCGAGAATTTGAATCGCAAATGTTTAGACGAACGCTTCTTTTAAAAGCTACCCGGAATCCCTGGAGCATAATTACTAAACTACACCACAATCGCAATATGCGGAGGTAAAATCAAAACGCTTTGTCATATCGCTTTTATTGTGAAATGACCAAATTAATCGAGCGGCGAAGTTTTCCGCTTCGGCTTCTGCATTTCTAATTAAGGACGATATCATGGAAAATCGTCACATAACGAATGCGTACTTTTTCACTCAGCAACAATTTAAAAAAACCCCGGGACTGGATCCATTCGATTCTTTGGATTGCCCTGAATGCGTATCCACCAATCGAAAGATTATTTTCATAATGTAATTGTTATAATAACAAATAGCAAAATAAGCCAATTTAGAAAGTCTGTACCAAGCAATCACGATAATCTATTAGAAGCGTTTCCACATTTCATATAATATTATCGCTACACGCGAAATAAACTTAGAAATCATATTCAAGAATATTTCTTAACGTAGTTACTCATGTAGCTTAAGTTTAAATCCTTATTCGAATAGAGTAAATTCATATTGACGAAAAGTCAATTTTCATGAGAATGCCATTTTCAAATGGCTTACTGTGTTTATATTAAGATTAGGACATATTTTAAAGAAAATTGTTAACGAATATAAAGGATATACCTTTTTTACTATAATATTATTATTTTATAATAATAATAATAAATTATAATATTAATGTATTTATATATTATTCAACAGATTTTATATATAAATTTTGCTTTGTTTGCAATGTTCTTATAATAATAATGTATCATTTTTATAATTTCTTTTCTTTTGAAATGAGTATGTATCGATAGTACCACAAAGTATATATATTCTGTGGTAGTGGAGCTAGATTTTGCTAGTTGCAATAGAAATTTGGTAAATTGTTTATTATGCATTACGTTCTTGATATTCGAAAAGAATTGAGTTTATGTAAATGGACATCACATTGTTCAAGTATTTGTATAAAAATTTGGCCACATACGAGAATAAGCGTATAAAAATTAGGCCACATACGAGAATAAGCGTATATATTCTCAATAATTCGAAAAAGGTGAGAATAAGCGTCCAATGAATTTATAGATAAATCGAAATCGGTCTTAGAGTTTTATCGTGCCTATTGCAACTATACTACAACAAATTGCAACTTTAATACGACGCAATCAGGACATCATTTGTGTAACGTTCAAAATTTAAGTTTTTTACCTTTTATTGTGTTGGAGCAATTAGATATCAGCAAATAAGAAAATAAATGCACTTACCGCAGTAAAGGTGTAGTTCTGTTGAAAACTATTGTAGTTGTATGAGTAGATTAATAGGTTTTTCCTTGTTTTTGGAATGCTGCCTTTCGGAATTTGAATGGATCTGAAAGAAAGAAAAGAGAAAAGCAATAAGTAATAAATAATAAATCGAAATAAATTCACTTCACTAAGAAAAATGTATAAATAGTCGATTTAATGGCTTACATTTGCTGTTCTATGAATATTAATAACTATTTAGGATATATACATTTCTTTTCTTCTTTTAAATCCAAAATTTTAATCGATAGAATTTCTTATTTGTTCTTGTTAAGTTTTCTAAATTTTTCAGAATTTCTTATTTGTTTTAAATAAACGAAATGTACGCACTTTCCTTCAATTGTTTCACTTGGGTTGTGTTTTTCAATTTTTCAGAATTTCTGAAACGTATAAAAAGTTGTCACCAAACTGAAAGTAAGCGTCTACGATTCGCAATAATTCGAAACATGTGAGAATAAGTGTCCACATTTGTTTACACTTCTCAATAATTGAAAATGTGTTTGTATAAAAATTGCTAACATCTAAAAGTAAGCGTTTCTTATTTTTAAATAATTTGTATAAAAATTGCCAAATGTTTTCATACCATGCCAATAGGTTTCAAGATAAGGCGCTATATAAAGGAACAAAGCATCCAATTTTATCAAAAACCACACGAATATAACGGTGAATACAAAAATAAAAGGTCATTATTAATTAAATTTGGGGATCAGTAGAAAACATAACGATATTCATAACGTCTGTGCTTTATTGTTTAGACTTCACTTTTTATTATATTTATAATAATAAACTTATAAGCTAAAGTTACGAGCATAAATAAGTTTAGGGAATAAAAAAAAAAAAGTTTATAAATTCAAATAAATCTGAATAATTAATGAATCATTCAAAGTATTTAGTTTAAAATGATTAATTAACAAATCGTTTGGCGCTTGTTGAGTAAAACATTAATTACTAGACATGTCCCTGACGCTTTCCTAGCATTTTCATCATTGTTATCATTAATCAATCAAAATAAGTCTTCAGAATCGCTGAAAACTTCTATTTCTGTAGTCGTTTATGCGCACACAATGAATGAATGATGAAGGTTTGTACAAGTTATCCGCTTCTTTGTAATATAGGAGAACTCTTAGTAACGGCAGCGACATATTTGCGACATATTTGCGACATATTATCGCCCTAGCATAAGCTTTCTTAGTAAAACATGCATTGAATTTGGAAGCACTCTTCTCTTAAAGGAGCACGAGGGTAGCTTTTTATTCAATCAGTTTTCGCTAATCGACGCACCAATAGTTCGTTCCGATGGACATTTGTAGCTATGACCCAGGTTATGTTATGTTTTCAATTTACCATCTCACGAGCTTCCTCCACAGAATATTCGACTACATCAATTATCTCATCCACAGTTCCACCGCCAAGAAACTTTTTCTGATCGTCAGTCACTTCACAATAATACATAATCTGTTTAGAGCCTTGCGTACCCACCCCAGATCTATATATGAATATAATTGATTTTGACACAATAATGAAGATTAGTTGATTTTACCTGTAAGACTTCCTGTACCTGTAGATCAACTTCTTCAAGATCCTCCTCCAATATCTCTTCACGGGCAATTTCGCCTCTTGACTTATTTTTATCCACAATGCCAGCACACATTTCAATAGTAATACCCAAATTTATTGGAAATTTATGAATAAGTCAGCACACTGGCATAGCAGCAATTTTTATTTATTTATGTTTTTTTTATGGATTATGTATGCATGTTATGTATCATTATTATGTATATTTAGCGGGGTTTTTATTTATTACGTACAAGTCTTGCAACTCTGTCGCGCGGTATAGTCGTATATATTTTGTTTCGGCAATTAATATTTTAAGTTTTTGTTGAATTTCGTGGCTATTCTGCCTTATAGTGTGTGAATTTATAATATACTTTGAGAAGAAAGTGAGTGAATTCAAAGTAAAAGAAATATTTTTCCTTTACGCTTTGA